CATATGAATACATTTTGAGGGACAATTTTGTCATTTCATGTTCAAAAATCAGATACCAGCCCCACATCCCGCGTGTAAGCTACACGAAACTCAACCAGGGGAGTTTCTGCCTTCGACTAAATTTCACAGGGGGTTTATACTAGTGAATATATCATTGGGGGTTTTTGCTATTTAAAAATTACACAGGGGTACTTTTATGGGTTACTCTTAAAAGAATGGGCTTATTTTATATACACCCCTGGGTACCAGATAAAGTAGGGATAAATCCAAACCAAAATTATCATTTGACATGGCCCCCATGGAGAGGCGAAACTCGAAAGTACTATACTACCCTAATATGCAATTTTCGGCCAAACTGTATTCGACATTTCTGGTCCTGCATTTAGCATTTTCACTGATTTAATTATTATTTTCTTTTTCTTTTTTTCTTTTTTATAAACCTGTTTCTTTAATTTATATATTTTTTATTATTTTTTTATTATTATTATTTTTTATAATTTTATTTTTTAAAACCATTATGTTTACTGTAATGAAAATAACTACACGTAACTGTAGTAAACTATAGTAATTCGTAATTATGTTCTTTTTTTTTACCACATATTTTTAGTCGATCAATTATATACACACACGAATACTCGCTTATACAAACGAAATTCATAAACCCCACCAACAAAAAATTATAAATGTCAATATTTATATTATAAATCACTCCAAACCAATAAAATAATTACAAATCGAAAATACACAAATATATGCATATGTAACTAGCAAAATATAGTAATAGTTACATGTTACTACTATATGTAACTAGCAATGTATAGTAATGTATAATGTATATTAATATACAGTAATGTACACAGTCTGTTGAACACTGTAGCTTGAAGCAGATGTAACTTCAACCAAAATTTTTGACACCTCCAAGGAGAGGATCAATGGCTTTCATTAAGCTGCAATAGCAAAATCAAAAACAAAAAAAAAAAATATATTTTAGTGCAAATCAACAAAAATTGAAAAAACATCAAAACACTTACAAATCAAAAAAACACTATCAGATCGAGAGATAGAGATAGAGAGGCTATAGCTGCGAAATGCTACGAATTTTAGACCAAACCGCCAATGACTCTTCACTCCAAGCGCCTCCTACCAAAACCCTAGCCGCCGCCGCTAACTACTCAAGGTTCCACGCTCACAAATGAAAAAAAAAATATAGAAATAAATTTGAACATATAAAAGTAAACAAAACTTCCATCAAAACATATATCTCGACGACAGGAATCCAACGGCGGGTAGTCTGTGAAATTCCGACTAGCGGAACACAAATTACATCTCCGGCAAGACCCACCCTCGTTGAAATACACGTCGACTGAAAAAGAATTGCAGAAATAGATCCAGCGTTCCAAACTTAATGAAATCACCAAAAAAAAACACTACTAGAAAATCGCCGATTAGCGACGGACATTGGCAACGTATAACTGATTTGTTGCTACAGTAAAGATTTAGCAATAGCATTAGTGACGGAAGATGAAATCGTCCCTTTGGTGGTGTTACTCTGATTTTAACGACAAATGTTTGCGACAACTGATAAGTTTGTTTCAAAAGTAATTTTCCAACAACAAATATAGCGATAGAAAATAGAGTCGTTGCAAGTGTAGGTAAGTAGCAACGAACCATAGCGACGAATATTAAGTCTATTTCTAAAATAAATTTGTAGCAACATATGTTGCGACGACTATATATTTGTTGCTAGGAAAATTGTGAGGCGACGGATCTGAGCAAGGGATAACAAATTTGTTTCTAATTTGAGCGACAAATTTAGTGACGGCAACTATAATCGTCCCTTGGGTTTAGAACAATCAGTTAGTGCTACAGATATTAGCAACGAAAACTATATCCGTGTCTAAGACAAATAATTTGCAAAACTGTAGTGACGGATATTAGCAATGACTAACAAATCCATTTCAAAAGTACATTATTATTATTATTATTATTATTATTATTATTATTATTATTATTATTATTATTATTATTATTATTATTATTATTATTATTATTATTATTATTATTATTATTATTATTATTATTATTATTATTATTATTATTATTATTATTATTATTATTATTATTATTATTATTATTATTATTATTATTATTATTATTATTATTATTATTATTATTATTATTATTATTATTATTATTATTAAAGAAATAAATTCATATTAACATAAATGTATTTTAAAGTTTTAATATATTAAAAGAGACACATTCGTGTATGTATGAATCACTTTTATTTACTTTTCTGCCATTAATAAATTATTGTCGTAAAAGGAAAAAGTAATCCCAATTAAAAAAAAACATAAAACCCTTTCTAAACAATTCATGAGAACTACTTTGAGAAATTGAGAGGGCAGGGACGATTCAACTGCACGCCTCGCAACAGCCACCACCGCGGCGCCACGACTGACCACCACCGCAGCGCCACGAAAGCCACCACCACCTACGCGACGAGCGAATCCCCACTCTCGGCCCCGCAACTAGCCGCCACCGCGGCGCCACGAGAAGCCACAGCCACGAACGACGCCTCTCTTGGGTAAGTCTGACTCCCCCCCTTTCAATTTTTGTTTGTATTGGAAAAATATTGATTAGAAATTACTTGCTATGATTTTTTGATGAACTGAAATTGTGATTTTTTTTATGAACTGAAATTTTTTGTGTGTGAAATAGATGCTTCAATTAATTTTTTTACCTATTGATTGTGCGAATTTGAGATTGTCCGGACATAAAAAAAAAAATTGTTTGCCAATGACACTTTTCCCTTGTTTATATTTGTTCACTTACAATCTCAAATATTAAACTTTAATTGCCTCTGTTTCTTATTTAGTTGGATTGATAGGGTAAATTTACTTTCTTATTTCATGCCTTTATATTTGGTGAAAAATATGGGGTAATTGGTATTTTGCATCCTCGAATTACATGGGCACTTTGCACCCTTAAATTGAAATAGTAGCAGTTTGCACCATCTAATTACAATTTGCTTGGCATTTTGCACCTTGCAACATATTTGGTTGGAAAAATGACCTGCAACCGGTTCTAACAGTTTCCTCCTCTGCATGGTTGCATCCTCAACCGCCATCGTCGGATGCTCCAAAAGCCTCAACCTCGTTATACCTCTCCAGTCTCTTCCAACCAAGATGGCTGCTGCTTCCCGTCACCACCAACAAAGGATTTGTCGTATTCCAGACAAACTTTTTTGCTCAAACCATCCTCCGACGTCGCCGGCGGCGGAGGAATATCCGCCGCTCAATAATTTCATGCCAGTATTTAGTTTAATTTCCTCTTGATTTATTAGATACCACTTTGAATCTAGGTACTCTGAATCTTAACACTGAGTTTATCCATTCAATATAATATGCAGCAGTCTGCAGGAACATTCAAATCAATTCAAATCATGTCAGAGATCGTTGGTTTGGAGAATTTCATGTATTATATTTTGAATAACTAATAATTATTTATTTATTTATTTATTTATTTATTTATTTATTTATTTCTTAATTTCTTTGTAATGGATTAATGCAATTTCCTGTTTGTTTCTTCTTTGAATAGTATAATTAATTATTAATATGCCCTCTCATTATTATTAGATGAGGAGGTTGATGATGGATTGATTAACTTGCTTTCTCAATGTATTCGTTTTATCACTGCTCTTATTGTATTTTGAGTCAGTCTAGACAAGTGTGTGTTTTATCACTGCTCTTATTGTATTTTGAGTCAGTCTAGACAAGTGTGTGCTTAGCATTCTGGAGTATGTATTCCTATTAAATGCAATTATCTTGATATATTTGCTACTTAATTACTTAGCTCATTTTTTAATTTGTATTGTTTGCTTAAGTGTTATTTTTATTGAATATTTATAGAAGATGTATAATTGGGCAAAGGATGATTATTTGACAATAAGAAGACATTTCGAACGCAAAGGAAGTATCAACTTGAGCAATTCTTTGAACAAAGCTAAAAAGCGATATAATGAGACAAATATAATACCCAACTGGATCAATCGGAATCATTGGTAGGAATTGATGGCTTATTGGAATACTGACAAATTTATATATAAATCTGAAATTAATTCCAATAATAGTAAAGCAAGTGTAAATGATCAAGGCACATCTTTGCACACAGGAGGATCAATTCCTATTTCGGAATATAAAAGAAGATATGTAAGTATTAATTTTGTACTTTGTTCTTGATAATTGAATTATTTAATATTCAATTAACTATTTCCTCGTTTCTTTAGGTTAAAGAGAAAGGGAGAGAGCCTACTGCCTCCGAGTTATTTTTTATGACTCAGTAGACAAAAGGAAATAATGATTGGAATGATCGTAAATCAAAGTGCGTATGGGTATGATTCTAATTTAATATTTTATTTCAATCACATAATGTTTAACAGTTGCTGTTAAAATCCGTTTTACATTTAGAAGGACTGGTGTTTAATATTCTTCTTTAGTTGCTTGAATATGCTCCTTTGAACTGTACTGGTAATGCACTAATGAACTGCTTGAATATGCTCATTTGAGGTATTGATTTTTAGTGAAATATATATGGTTCTTCTAATTGAAATACATCTGATGTTGCTAATTTTATATTGCTCTATATTTTGGATTAATTTATTATCAATTTTATCGTATCAGGATAAATGTTCAACAATCATCAAGCGAATGCATTTAGATAACAATGCTGATGGAGAATGAAATGAGGATACAACAATAAACGACGACGAGGAAGAAGAAGATGCTAATGGAGATGAGGCCTTCATGGAAATGGTGCATGCTCCACCTGAAGAAGTTGTTGATAATGCTTGGCTCGAGGCAACTGGAGGACCGATTAAAGGAAGAGTTTATCGTCTCGGATCAGAGTCTGCTAATGTTATTCATAATGTTAACTTTATTTCTAATGCTTCAACGATGAATTCTTCATCAACACCACCAGCGTCTTCTCAAAACATGGTTGACAGCCCTACTTTTGAAGAAGTTGTTAATCGATTGGTGGAGCAAAAGATTGCAGATATGCTTGCATCTTTTGAAGATCAACTACAAGCCGGTTTCCAAGCTGCCATTCAGGCCGTGCACCAAAGTGAACCAAGAGGATCTACTAGAGATACACGGTCAGCAACATAGTTATGGGATAAGATTAAATTTAATATTTTTAGAAGAACGTTAATTTTTTTTAGAATCTGATGTTGCACATTCTATTGATATTATTTAGCTTAAAATATTTTTTGATAACTAGTTTTCAGTCTTGCACTTTAGTATTATATCAAATGTTTATTTTATGAGCATAATTGGATGTTTTGTTTTTGGTAAATTATATATTTGGACAGGTTTTAATAATTGGTAAAATGATTTGGCTACAGCTTTAGCAGCGAATATTTCTAATAATGGTTGTGTAAAGTTACTTTTGGCGATAAAATTGGAAATGAAATCTGTGACGGATTTTATGTATTTCGTGATAGAATATTGCAATGGACTTAGCTATAGATTAACGACAGAATATTTGCAACGTACGTAGCTACGGATTTGGCAACAACACATTTTCGACGCACTGAGCAACATAATTAGCTACGGATATTAGAAACGGAAAAATTCAACATTAGTGATGGATGTGTTCGTTGCTAGTATAGCGATAGATTTTGGCGACGAATGATATTCATTTCTACCATAGGAACGATAATTAGCGATAACTTTAGCCACATCCATTAGCATCATACACGTTTCGTATTAGCGACAGACTAGTCCGTGACAACCGTAGCGACGGAGTGTAGCGACGATCATTATCCGTTGCCACGTGTAGCAATGGCATTTCATCAAGTCGCAGCTAAAATTTAGCGACGCGGCTTTTTTCTACGGAATTGGCAACGCATGACATCTGTCGCTAATCACGAGTTAGCGACTGATTTACATTGTTTAGGCGATTTTCTAGTAGTGAAAGAAGATCTAGACGAGAGGAATTCAACGGTAGTTAAACCATCAAATTCCGACATCGGAGAGAGAGTTATGACTCCGAGAAACAATATCGCTGGTTAGATACCTTGGGGGTGGGATTTGGATCTGGAAGTTGAGAGAGGAAGATAAGGACCGATATAAGTTGACTAAGGTTTAAAACTGATTTAAAAGGGTATTATGGGTACTTCAATATCTGCAGAGAGGGATATTTCAAATTATTATCCAAATAAAAAAGGTTTGCACTATGATATAAACAGCATAGTAGTTAGTTATATATATTTTCAATACGAGGGGTTCCTAAAATAATCCCTAAAAGAATATCTTGTTACGAAGAACCGCAGCATATTAATTCAACTTTTATAATCATTTATTTAGTATTAAGAAGTCTTACACAAATACCCTTCAAATGTATCTCATTGAAGGGGCATTTTGTAAGCACAAAAAATTTAAGAAACCTTACGTAACATTCACACTTTTATACATAAAAATAAAAAATAAGGGAAAATTTAGCAAGAACCCCTATCTAAGTGAAAACCCCCTCTAAAAAATAATTAGAGAAAACCTCGTTAGCTAATATTCTACTCAAATTTATTTTCATGATTCTAAAACTACCCTTAAATTGTCTACTATACAATTCTACAACCCTAATCTTCTCCCGTCTCTTCTCTGGTTTTTTTCTTTCTATTCTACTTTTTTCACCCAATTCTCTAGTTTATTCGCTCTTGATCGGAAGATGAAGAACCGACCATCGGCATCACCGCCAGAACAACGACACCAATCCCGTTGAATCCGTCGTCGCTGTCTTCGTCCCCCTCGCTGTCGATGTTAATGCATCTTCTTGGGCTTTTAATTCCCTTATTGAGACATCTCCTCCCGCTCTCTACCCCTTTTGCAAATCCGAACAGAATCTCTAAAGATGATGATGATGATTTTGATAGCGATTCTGAATTCGATTACGAGGATTGGTACATCGGCGGTGAAAACGGGTAAAATTATCGATTGTTCTCGGAATCGGATTTTGGTGGGTGGTGGTTCTGCTTTGGTTGGTGGTGCGGGTTGTGATTTACTTTATTTGTAATAAAAAACCGTCAGAATATCGAAGTGGGTGGTGATGGTGTGATGTGACGGCAGTGAGTTCACGATGGAGAGCAAATCTAAGGTTTTTTCGGTAGATTGGGCAGATGACGGTTCGGATAGAGAAATTTGCGCAGGTTGGACCCTTAATCGACTATGTTTTATTGAAGTCGATTATGTTAATCGACTATGCTCTGATAGTCGATAAAAGTATTCATCGACTGTTTTCGTAGTTGATTAAAATTACTCGATTTCATTTTTAAATTCGTGTTTGGATTGTTGTTTATTGATTACGATCTGTATAAATCAATTACAATTTATGTATATTATTTATTTTGTAAAAAAAAGGTTGATTTTTGGTTCTAAGTAGATGTGTTTTTTTTAGTAGTTAGTTCCTTAATCGACTATGTTTCATCATAATCGATTAATATGCTTGATAGTTGAAATACCTGAAAGAGAAAAAAAAAATTAAAAAACCAAAAGAAAAAAAAAGCTGATGGGCGGAGATAGTGCTGATGAGGTGACATAGCCATAATTGAAAAAAATACTAGTAATATTAAAAGAAGTATCGGAAATAATATGAGTAAATTGCAAAAACTATCCCTGTGTAATCCTTAATTGCTACAAAAGTCCCTATGTTATAAAAATTAGCAAAAACCCCCCTATATATTTTTTTTATTAGCTCACCGCACCTATTGTTATTTTAGTCATTGACCAGGGATGAAAAGATAAATATACCCTTGTTAATAGCATACAATTAGAATTATTATATAATTGAGGCCAAATTGTAATTTTACTAAATTTCTGAAACTTAATTAGGTGATTGAATTGTAATTTTCCAAAATACTATTAAACCTAGATTGAAACACACACTACGCACAAGCTGGATTGCCCAGCCTTTTCTTCTTTCGCAACCTCTAAAACCATCGTCGGAGAAGACGATAAAAAATAGATAAACAATGGGAGGTTTGGATCTGGAGGCATCAAATACCTTGCTCTTCTCCTCCACTGTTTCGTGAGGCTGCCGGCTTCGACAGAGCTACAGGATTTGAGAGAATTAGGGGCGGCTCCGGTGGCGGTAGTGACCGTGGTTGTTGCCTTTGCTGTTGTTTTGAGTTCCAGAAATTTTGGGGAAGAAGAGAATTAGGTGCTGGATTTTTTTTTTCCCAACTGGGGGCGTTGAGACTTGAGAACGATGATGATTAGGATTTAAGATTTTAAAAATTGCTATTTTGGTCCTTTGAATTTGAATTATTTATAATTATATCAAATTTAACATACATTTTTTTATTTATATGTATAGAAGGATGTTTATGTCATTTTACCCCCAAATTTTCAAAAAGAACCGCACAACCCGCGCGTGAGTGCCACGCGCAGCTTTAATGGACTTTTTTGCCTTTGACTTTTAATCATAGGGGGGTTTTTGCTAATTTTTATAACACAATGACTTTTTTAGCAATTAAGGATTACACAAGGGTGGTATTTGCAATTTACTCGAAATAATATAACAGAGGCCCCAAAAGAAAATAAAATACATATGTATAGATATAGATAAACTCAGTAGTACAAATATTATATATACTAGAATTTTGTTTCACCACTCTTGATTTGATATGCATAACATTGGCTGTGCTTTTCACGCTTTCAAGACCTTGTTGAGGTAAGCTCCAAGTGCCCATATGGGGAAAATGTTTCTGTAAGCGGTGCAACTTATCAAACTGTTTATGCTGACGAACGTGCTGATAATTTCCTGCCAAATTAATATCATAAAATAAATATGCACAACTTTCACAAACTCGTCATTTCGAAATAATTTATGAAACCTGTTGTGGGAAACCGCCGTTCTCTGTTTGGGAATTAATCAGCACTTTAGCAGCACGGTGCAGTGGGCCCGGATCCCGACTTCCCTATACATTAAGGGTTTTTTTACGAATAAGTCCCTCACCAACCATGTTTATCCTAAAGAATAAATATCACTTACTTGTCCAGCTTCAATAAGCGCCAGCATAGCCCATCCCGTGTTTACATTGTGCGACTTGTCTTTCGCAATGTTTGTGTATACCTGTTGTAATCAATATTCAAACTAGCTCGTAAAATTTCTACGTCGTCATTTTCGTCATATCTAAATTAAATAACACGCGTACGCGCTCAGTATATAATTTTGAAATATAAAATAATTTATACCTTGTCTTGGCTTGAAAGATAACTTTCTCCCCAGCCACCACAGGGGAGCTGTTTGGATAGCAGAAAATCGCAAGCTTTTCTTACAGATAAGCTGTTTTCGTATGTCTTACCACCTGCGACTAGCCCTGTTATCCCGAACCATGTCCCGTAGGTGTAGCATATTCCCCAAGATCCATACCTATATATATTAATAAAATAAATTAAATAATTAAGGGAGTTATTTTCAAATGAAAGTATTATATATTTATATATTATCCAGTAAAAAAAGAAGGAAAGAGACTTGCCAAGAGCCATCAGATAACTGTATGCTTTCAATGAATTGAAGTGCCTTGTCAATGCATGCCTCTATTTCTTTTCTCCGATAATTGGGATAAATTTTGTTGAATTGTTTCAGACCTTGAATTGCTGAAGATGTGCATTCTACGTACCTATATATTTATATATAAAGGAGGAAATTAGCTCAGAAATATTTTTTTATAGATAAAAGGACACGCGACTTTTTTTGTTTTTTGCTAAAGCGACTTTTTGAGAGGTTACTTAATTAGACAGCTTAGACTAAGTGTTACACATAGAGCTTAGTTACATAGTTTAGTGCGACCTTAGTTATGTTCAGTGGTCATCTATCTACCAAATCCTATAGCTAAACAAAGTGAACCAACAAAATACGTAGATCTGATTTTCCAAACAACGATTGTGCGTGAATGTGATTTACATGGTACGTGTGTGAGTGTGTCACTGTGTGGGCGTGCGCGCACGTGTGTGAGGCCGTGCATGGAAGATGGATGGAGTGGTGGAGAAGAAGACATGGATAAAAGACTTTTAGCAAAATACCAAAAATCTCATTGTCCTGATTTGAAAGAGTATTGGTGTCTCAGACAAGTACAATACAACATATTTGGTTCTTAAGTTACTGTAGGAATTAGAAAACATGGTTAGCAATAAATACTCGAACACTTACTGGTAGTCGATAACTATGTTCCCGAATGTTTCTGATGGATTAATCACCTGTTCGTCAATATAAGTACACTCTGTTAATATCATAAAACAATTACTATAGTTATTATTATTTAATTTCTTCTTTCTGTAAATTAAACACTCTGTATGTATGACTACATGTTTCGATTCATTTCATTACCTCAATCCAAGCGTACGATCGTGTGAGCTCGTATGTTGCAAACCCTCCACTACTATTCTGCATGGAAAAATATACCGTTATTTAAAATTCGGTTAATAAGCACAAATGCAGGGTAGTTAGAGATTATCAATAATGTACACCTGAAGGGATAAAATCAAATCTACTGCGTCGTGTAGCTTATTCTGCTCTAATGCTTGTCCAGCAATCTCTGATGGCAGCTCTGATAACATAATTGCTGCCTGCATTTTGAGCAAGAAATTAAAAACAATTATTCTAAATAACTAATTTTTTTTTTTTGAAAAAAAAAACATAAATTAAATTCACATCACATGTGTTCTAATTAGGAAAATCAGACCTTAAGGCCTTCGGCTGTACAATCTGAAACTGGCCAGCCATGGTCTGCGGTAGAAAACGGCCACCCGCCTTTAGAGCTGTGGCGATACCGGGAACCCGAACTATCGCTTGTAATCTTTCAAAAATTATAAATTAAATGGATAAAAATAATGTAAGGTATATGTTATTATGCTACATAATCAAATAAAGGGTAAATCGATGCAATCGAGAGTAGAAAGGGGTAAAGTGATATCGAACCAAAGTACAAGGGGGGAAAGTGGAATTTACCCTTAAATAAATATATAGAAAAAGAAGTAGCTAAGTCTTTTTTGGTGAATCTTACTTGTGATATTTTGATGAACTCATGTGCCCTTTTAAGCATGAAACCATATTCTTGAGGAAGGTTGGTTCCAACTATTCCTCGAACAGCCAATGCTGTATCCCACAACTGACTCCCATTGTATCCCTATATATACCATAAGAGTTATACATATATTTTTTTTTTTCGTTATAGTATATGATCAGTGACGGAAACAACATAGGGCTATGTGGGTGGGGGCCGGGGGTCATGGCCCCCATTATTTCTCAAATGATCGAGAAGAAAAGTATTATTTAATTACCTTCATCTTCAGCCCATCTTCAGCAACCCATAAGTAATCCTTTATTCTTGAGAGATGTCGTTTGACGGCCACAGATTCCGGATCGTCTATCCAGCAGCATAGCATGTTCAGTACCTATATTTTTATTTTTATTTTAGTTACCATGAACGGAAAAAGAAAAAAAAAGGGGAGGATCGGATTAATTATAAGTACCTTATTTACGGGTCCGGCACAGAGATAATTAGTGGTTACATCTTCATTATGGATATGTTTGATGACAGTGGTAAGTGCTGTATTCCTTAGCTTACAGAAAGGCCACTGCATTGCGAGTGGTTCTCCAAACTTGTGCAAACAATTCCATATAATCTCTTGTAAAAGTGGACGTGGGAAATATACATCCTCCTGCAACCAAACTTCAGATATTACATAAATGTATCATTTAATATTAATATCTCCAATAATATATATATATATATGTACCTTAGAACATTGGTTTCTGGCCAAATTCCAGTCAATCATATGGTAAGATTGAGTATAAAGTTCTTTACGAAGAGATAGGATAAGGCCATTGATTGGCCCTACAAATCTCTTCCCGTATAAATACGACATGGGCAAGTACACCAGCCGAGTTTGACACCACATACGCCCTACATCTATAATTAAATATCCGGGTTTTTTCTTTCTATTACCATAATTAAATAATAAGATAAAAAGTAAGCAAAACCTGGATGAACGGGAACAAAGTACGGAAGGAGCCACAGCTCCGGTGGTAGAGGGTTGCTGCCTTCCCATTCATACACGCCAAGAACCTATAGTAAATATATATATCTATCAATATATATATAATAGGCAATATTAATTATAGAGTGTAGTGTGTGTGTGTTTTGTTAAGAGTATATATATGTATATGTATATGTATATGTATATATGTATTCACCGAAAGCCAGCACTTTCCCCATGAAGAAACAAAGGTAGCACCACCATGAACGAGAATCCATGTTCTTGCTTTATGCATGGCTCCATCTCCACCGTCCATTTCTTGACCTAGAAGCCTTAAGGCAACATAATTCAATGTTGTGGAAAACATGCTGCTGCGTGCTTCTGTATGCAATCCCCACCCTCCATCAATATTCTACACAATATTATTCCTTAATCAATTATAACTATATTTATTACACTCATAATTCAATGTAGGGAAAATTGCACATCAGCCCCTGTACATTTCTAATATATTTTCGCACTTTTCCCCTTCAATTTTTTTTAAAAGTGAACGCCCCCTTTAAAATGTTAATTCTTGTTGCACGTTGCCTCAAGAGCAAAACTCTAATGGATTATTCATCGGAATATAGTATTATTGTTGCACGTTGCCCCTTAAAACACTACTTTTTTTGTACGTTGCTCCATTAAAATGTTATTTCTGTTGCACAATTTGCCTTCCAAAAACTGCCTTCTGGAGCAAAGTGCAACCAAAATAATATTTCCAAGGGACTATATCCATTTTTTGAATTTTTGTGGGGGGATAGTGCGAAAATGGAATATTTATAGGGGGAAGTGCATGTAGGGCAAATTGCACTTCACCCCCTCAAAAGAATATTTTTTTTTCACTTCCCCACCTCAAAATACAAAAAATGAGACTCCCCTCCTTTCAAATATAGAACTCGGTGTAGTTTACCCCAAATTTGTGTTTGTGGTCTAAGTCTCCCCGAATTAAAGGTGTATATGTCATTTTATTTTTTTCCGCTTGAAAGTCCTACTTTCAAAGTTACTTATGGTTCCCAAGCTAACAAAATTCTTTTCCCAATTTGATGAAATTCGCTTCCAAATTAGACGAAATTCTCTTCCAAGTTCGACAAAATTTGTTCATTGTTCTTCATAATAGTCGTAAGATGGGGTGAAAAAAAAAGGTTAAATGACATTTAAGGCCTTGAAACATGAAGTTACCCTTCCAATTTACTCAAATCAGATAAGAATTAGACCGAAAAAACACGTTTGGGGCAAAATGCACCGAGTTGTATATTTTGAAGGAGGACAATCTCGTCTTTTTATTTTGAGGGGGAAAGTGCAAAAAAGGAATCTTTGAGGGGGCGAAGTGCAATTTGCCCTTATTAAACGGAGAACAATTAAACTACGTACCTGATGGTTATAGAGATAACGAAGTATCTCTTTCTTATGCTCGTCCGAGATGATGCTTTTTACAGCACCCATTACAGTCAAAGCTATCACCTGTTCATGAAAACGTTGAGATTAATTCCTTTTTTTTTTCTTTTTCTTTTTTTTTATGACAATGTGTTTGGACATTTTCTTGATATTTTGAATTGAGATTAACCAGATGTTGATTGGTTGTCAATATAATGTCATGTGTTTTGATATAAGATTAGTAATAATTGTAGCTACATATCTCAATATAATTCCTTAACTTGTTTAGACATGATTTATGCATGGGTAGATATCATTTTGTCATCCGTACTTTATCCGTTTTTTCGCATTGTCAGCTTAACCAATTTTTTATTTTTTATTTTGCACGGAAACACCTAAAATTCACATACTCTCTATTTATATTTATATGTATATAAAAATACCTGAATATTCTTCTTATCTCAATAATAATTTATATTTCTTTTATCTATAAAAAAATTACATTTCTTTTACAACCTTTATTTTATATTAATATATTAATGGGACAAAAAATTAAAACTTGCACATTAAAATATTTTATTATACTTCATTTTATTTTTTAAAAAATGTCAAATGTCATATCAACATACATAAAAAAAAAATATTTAGTTTATTTAATGTATAATTTTATATTATTATTTTTATTTGAAAATTAATTTGTAGATACTATAATAATATTTTAGAAACAAAAGTATTGTGTCGAATTAGTTTGAGAGTTATAATGGCGTCATGTACTTCTTTGTCATTATAGCGATAAACAAACTTTTTATTTCCAAACACCTGAACAATTTATAAAAACAAAAAGTAACTGATAAGCTACATATTCAAACACCTGAAAAATAATTTTTAAAATAAAATCTAACAGCTGATCAGCTCCTAAAACATCTTCTCAGACATAGGAGCTTGTAAGATGTTTTAAATAAGCTTAGCCGAACAGGCTCTAAGTAGATAATTTTTTTTGTCTTTTTATTTGAAGATATCAAATAGGCTGAAATTGTAAGTTTCAATGACTCAATTAAAATTAATTTAAAACTTTCCCAAATTCCAAATGAATAGAAAAGGAGTTCTGGTCCTCCTTCTTCTTCTTCTTCCATAGGAGATTCTATCAATTGAAAAAACTAATATTATTTGTGTGAACTATGACGGTCCGTTTGGATGGAGGGAATTGAAATCCATAATAATAAATTTCTTGGACATGTTTGGATTGATTAACAAATTATTTCAAATTCCTTTCCCCAAATTAAATCTCCCTCCAAATCCCTCTATCCAAATAGACCCTATATAAGTTCATATACGTAGGAATTGTGTGTGGATTAAAAATGTGCATTTGCTAAAAGTCGTCATGTATTTATTATTTGAGATGAGATATATATGATAATAATAAATTAACAAAGTTTAATCATTATTAAATATGTTGTCCATGATCAAGAACAGAGATGCATATACATTATATCTTTTTATTTTTTTTATTAATCTGTTTTGTCTATTTTAGTACATAGATCTATATCACATGTATGTTTTAAAGGGAAGAAAGAAGCTGTAATAAATAAAATAAAGAGAATTTTTTTTCTTACCAAGCCTGGGAGAAGAAACAAAGGTCCAGAATAATCACCAGGCCAGTGTCCATCCTCAGCCTGAAGAGTTGAGTAGAATCTGAGAGCCCTTGTCAATGCCTTCACCACTGTTTCTTCACTTTTAATTTCTTCTTCACTTGCTACCTTCACCTGCTCCATATCCAACTCACCACAATTCTTCTTCTTCTTCTTAAACTACAACAATTTCATATAAAGAATTAAAAATAATAATATTAATAAAGAAACTCGACAAATTTACAAAAAAAAAATGTTTGGATGAGTTATTTTCATTTTATTTTGGGGAAAGATGTTTTGCGGGAATAATTGGAGAATAAAAGTATCGTAGAAGAAGAATTTGAAAAAAATAAAGTGACGTCTGTTTCTTTTTTTAGTGATGACGATTTTAGCTGCAACAACAGTCAAATATATTTACCGTAGCAACAGTGCAAATCTTGTCCAAAGATAGATGAACTCTAGAAGTTGTTTCGGGAATTTGTTTTCGGAAACTTTAACAATCACTAATTTGTTTCGGCGAAAAAATAAAAGTGAAATGAAAACAGAACCAAACATTGTCAAGAGAAGTAATTCGTCACCTGAATTCCCATTAGGGCATCAGAACTTTGTTTGATATGATAACGGCGACTCCGAAAACAATCACGAGCTTTTTCTACCTGAGCTTCTTCTTCGGGTGTTCCTGGTATTCGATCAAATTCCCAAAACTGCCTTCCGGCATTGTTATTCGTGCTCGTAATCCATGGATCTTCACCTCCTTCAGAAAGCTTCAGTCTCCACATTTTTCTTTCTTACCACCTTAAATACTCTTCTATAATCTTAAGTTTCAGAAAATATATGCGTGCTATTCATCTTTACATAACTATATATATACACCTAAACTCAAGATGGCCCATATAATATAATGGGTAAATTACACCCACACCCTTGAGGTATGCTAAAATAACTTTAAGGTCCTTGTGGTATCGATAATTACACTCATCCCCTTGAAACATAGTTAGAAACTCTAATGGAACAATGCATTAATTGGATACGTTATTCCTATAGAGCTTTAACGGACTATTAGTTTCCGGAAGTGGTCGAGACAACCAATGAATTTTTCCTTTAGAGTTTCTAACTAAGTTTCAGGGGTGGGGTAATTATAGATATCACAGAGGACCCTATAAATTATTTAAGTATATCTATATATATATATATATATATATATATATATATATATATATATATATATATATATATATATATATATATATATATATATATATATATATATATATATATATATATATATATATACACACGGATCGAGAGATAGATATATAAGAAAAAAAATCATCAATAATTGTACAGTGCACAAAATGCGTAGTAAAAAATTAGAAGTCAAATGCAAGCATATTCCTTCATAACAACTCATAGATATATAAATAAACAAAATAACTCGCATCACACGCAGGATGGCAGGATCTCTAAAAAAATAACTCGTGTGCCACGCTTCTTGGACCGCTTAGCTTAATGATTAACTAATTGTTTATGTTTTGATTTTTGAACTAAATTGTTTATGTTTCGAGTCATGTCTTTATTATCAAAATATATTGGACCTCTAACAATAAGCCTCTCAAAACTTTAAGGGCTCGTTCGGTTACCGGCTCGTTTGGTTACGTATATTGGATTAGATTGGATTACATAAGATTGGATTAACTCTATACTGACTAATTAATTATTTAGTTAGTAGCATGTTCGGTTTCTTAGATTAGATTTTCCATTAAATTTGTTAAAATCAGTTATTATATATGAATTGTCTATAAAACCACTTAGTTTACAATAATAAAATATTTGATTTTAATGATAAAATTGTATTTTTCTTTTTAGTCACCCCTTGTAAAATTAATCTCAGGGAGAGGGGTGCTACTAATTTAATGAAATAGTAGCACTTAATAGCGGGTTTTGATTTTAGTAGCGGATTTGAAAATGTGTGAATCTTGCCAACTGGATATTTTATTGGGTTTATTAGGGATAACCCCCTTGTTCATATTTTCTAATGAGGTAGATCCAATTAATTTTTCCCTTTTTGATATACACCCAAATATGCCAACTTGGCACAATATATTATTTAATTTCCCTTTAATACCCCTGCTTTATTTTTGAACGGCATTTATTTCCTTAACTACGTGATATGAGATTGCTGATACGTTGCCTAAAATCACGGAATAAAATTTGTGAGTATATTGGCAGTTTCGTTATTATCACAACGTGTACAATCGGTTTTGAAGAATTTCTCCATCGATTCATCGTTTCCATCGGCTTTGAAGAAGTTTTCACCGGCGTGGAGGTAGGTTCGGATCTGAGCGTTCATCGTTGTCCGTCGTTAAGCGGCATGAACTTTTATTTTCGCTGTATTTGTGCGGGGGTTGTTGTGTTATTTTCGCTGCATAGTCAAGCATATGAAGCTGCTCCGTTTCGTAACACTGAGCCATAGCAATCTAGAAACGGGAATCACTCGGCTGCAAAAAGACCGATTTCTTGAAATAATTCAGCGCGTGAAACGGCATCCCCATCATTTCGTAAGCCTGCCCTAATCACGTCGACATTTTATGTGGGTAGACATTTTAAGATTTGTGTTGATACGTTGATTATATTGGTAGTAAAGTAGATCGTTTCTTAAAAAAATTATGTCGTCACATATACATCCTTATTTTGTCTGATGATGTTTGTTTGGAAGAGGATTCACATAGTTGCCAGAGGATGGTTCACGCAGTCGGACCAGAGTTGTTTTATATGAGTGTCGTAGTTGGTTTACGCAGTAATCGAAATAAATATTTGGTGTGGTCGAGTTGATGAAGTTGAAACTGACTGATAGTTGTTTTGTTTGTTTACAGCAGTCGACTTTAATGTATTCGGTAGTACATTGGAATGTATTTGGTAGTCTATTTAATCAATTATTTGTATTCTGCATTTTTTAAGTTCATATGATGCTGAAGTTGTTATTTCTGATGATGATGGAACAGGGGGTGGGGGTGAACTAGTTGGAGCCGTTGATGCCACTGGAAGTGAGGCATTGAATGCAGGCTTTGTGCAGTTGTTCGAAGAAGAAGTCGACTGCATTCCTGATGATAGCGACGATGACATAAACTCAATGAATTCAAATGATTCCGATGGTTGTTATTTTCCAAACCACCCTAAGATTTGATATGTTTAATTAATGTCGTGTTTACGATGTAATGGCTCGGTAACTTCGGTTAAGTGTTAAACCGTTGTAATACAGTAGTATACTATTATGAATACCGTATGATACTACCATTATCATTTTATTATACTATTATGAGATTATTAATGTACTAGAGTTTTTTAACTCGACATATTGGTTTGATTGTGTTATGATGTGTTTTAAGTATTTTATCAAAACCCTAGATTGAAATTATGAGAATATTAATGTACTATTTTATTGGTTATGTTGGAATTATTTTACGTTGGTTTTTTTCTCAATGTTCTTGTCATTTCAGTGGTATATTGTTTGTAACACAATTTCATATCACTACTATAACCGTAATATACTATCATAGCAGATTAATGTACTATATGAAATTATTAATATACTATGTGGTTGAATAATACGGGATCCATAGTCGATTAACGAGATCCATAGTCGAATTAGATCAATGAGATAGTCTATTACATGATATGGGATAGTCTAACAATATTAAAACACAAATCCTTCCCCATCACTTATCAGATCTAGGATTTTGTTGATTCTTCGGCCCAATAGTTAAATAACTAAACCCATAGTCGAATTAGATATATGGGATAGTCTATTAAATGATATGAGATAGTCTATTAATTTTAAAACACAAATCCGCCGCCGTCACTTCTCAAATCTAGGGTTTTGATGATTATTCGGCCCATAGTCGATTAACGAGATCCATAGTCAAATTATATCAGTAAGATAGTCTATTAAATGATATGAGATAGTCTATTAAGACAGATGTAATTCGACTATGCATCTCGTTAATCAACTATGAGCCGAAGAATTATCAAAACCCTAGATTTGAGTAATCCTAGATTTGAATAACCCTAGTTTGGAGCAGTGACGGCGGCGGCGACGGCGGCCAACGACGATATCACTCCTAAATTGATTGTTACGACCTTGGAGGCGGGAGCGGCGGAGGTCTTGGTCGTTTTTGGCGGTCTTGGAGGTGGAGGTGGTCGGATGTGGTGGTGGTGGAGGACTAGGCGGTGGTGGAGGTGTTGCTTATGGCCAATATCGTTGTTATCGTCGTTGGCCACCGGCGACAACGGTGACGGAGGTGGCGGCGGTCGGAGGGAAGCGGCGAACCCGGCGGGAAAATAGGGAGGGATTTCGGAGTGCAGAAAATCGTCAATCGCCGTTGTATAAATTTCTTGTTTTCTTTGGGACCTTTGCAGATTTTGGTAGTGGGTTTGTGGGGATAGTGTTTTAACGGGAAAATAGGGAGGGATTTAATATTATTTCAAAAAGTAAAGTAACGGGAGTTGTGGGATTTGATTGAGGGTACTCATGTAATTTAGAAAAATATGGATTTTTATCAAAATTACAAATTTGAGTTTGGGTCTATCCCTATTATTTGTAAGACTAAGGGGGTTATATCTAATAGACCCTATTTTATTAGCCCCTACTATTTAGTCAGTAGAACTTTATAGCGGTAACCGAACGAACCCTAAGAAATATAACTAATTTCGTCCCTAAAATTAATTATTTACGAATCCACTTGTATTCGTTTTTACCAAAATTATCTCTACCTTACGTAAATCAACATATATTATTATTTAGACTGCATTTAGTCATCGAATATGACTATATTTGACTACGTCGAATATCACTATATTTGACTATAATCAGCTATAGACCATTGGAGATGGTCTTAAGGGTACAATATATATTCTTGCCCGGACCCCCAAATACACCGGACCGGCCTGAACACAAACGAAAACTGGAATTGGATAGTAAGGTTCGATTCAGGTTAGTAAAAATGTTGAACTGGAACCGGTGATTCAACGAAAATTAAAAAAATAATAATAATTAAGAATTAAATGAAAATTGTAGATTATTCGTCCACCAAGTCCAACGGTCAGAGTTTTTAAATAAATAAAAATGAAAAAGAAAAATTCACCAATAAATCAACCACCAAGGCTCAAGAACGATCATGTGTACAAAAGGAAAAAAAACAAACAATTAAGTGCAAGCACTTTTAACTTTTCTTCTTTCTTCTTTTCTTTTTTAATGTTTTACAAGTATAAATTCTCTTTCAATGGTTTTACCAGTATAAATATTTTGATTTTGAATTGTTTACAAGTATAAAATATTTATAATTTTTTTTATAAGTACGAATAGTTTTTCTTTCAAGTCTTTACTTTTTACAAGTATAAATAACTATTTTAAGTTTTTAAAATATTTTATTTTTAATTCTTAAAAGTACAAATAATATTTTAAATGACAATGACAAATAGGGACATGACAAGAGACTTAAATACACACTGGTCCACACAAAAAAAGTCTTTCAAACAAACTCATCCCCATGTCCTTAGTCTAAAATATCCTCAATAATACAACTCTTATGAATTCCATCAATTATACTCTAATTTCCTCAATATTACACATTGACCCCGGAATTAAATAAATATATCACATTAACCTCATTTTAATAATTTTTTGAAAAATAATTTTTTTTAAGAAAATAGTTTTTTTTCTGAAACTTTTTTTTTCCGGCCAGATTACGGCGTTGACATGGCGGTTCTCCGACATTGACTTTTTTTTTTGAAAACTTTTTTTTCTGAATTTTTTTTTCCGCTAGTCAACCGCCGTTGACTTTAAAAAAAAATTAGTTTAATTAATATTGCTGTATTGGCTGCTAAATTACT